CTGGGTGCCTTCCTCAACAACTTCCTACCTTGTTTTTGGAGACAGTCTTTCTCTGACCCTGGCCCTTATGTGGCTAGCCTGGCTGGCCAGCATCTCCACCTCTCCAGTGCTGAGCTTCGTACCTGACTTTTTTACTTAGGTGCAGGGACTGAGTTCAGGTTCCCAGGCTTGCATGATAAGCATGTTGCCAATGGAGCCATTGACCCAGCTCCATCTTTTACAACTTATATGTAATTAGAAAACAAAAGGTTTCAAACCCCTCCAGATTTAATGCTAATGTCCTAATTCATAACTATAAAGGAATAAATCTGAGGCAATAAAATTGAGACAGGACTCTCAATTTAATCGGACTTACAGATTTATTAGAGTAAATGAGCTATCCATGGGCAAAAAGATTGATAAGACAGAAATGAGGAATAAAAAATTTACATTTATTTATATAGTGTATGTGGGGTGCAGGGAGGTGGGTGGTTGATGAGGCACATGCAGCCACACTGCATATATGGAGGTCGGAGGACAACTTTCAGGAGTTAGTTCTCTCTTTCAACCACATGGATCTTGGGAACTGAACTCAGGGTGTCAGGCCTGGCAGCAAGTGCCTTCGCTCATTAGCAATTTCACTTACTCCTTCAATTATAATATCTTTGTTGTTGTCTTGTTTTTTCCAGACAGGGTCTCTCTGTGTAGCTCTGGTTTTCCTGGAAATCAAGGCCAGCCTTGAACTCAAAGATATCCACCTGTGCCTGCCTCCCGAGCTGGGATTAAAGGCATATGCCGTCACCAGCTGGTCCTTTAATAACCTACAATGGACCGTCAGTGTAGAATTTCCCTAGCTCCTGGATTAGAAGCAAAGTCAACCACCCTATTAACAAAGCTGCTAGTTTTGCATACTGGGTCTTTTTTCACTGTGACTCTGTTTTCCTACTTTTCCAGCACCCATGATGCAGTCCTTTGCTTTACCAGACTTTATCTGTTTCCCTTCATCTCATAAAATTCAAACTTCCCAGTCTTCCGGGTGTGAGGATATTTTCTGTCTCTTGGGTTAATACAATGAGCCACTGTGAGGATCAAGTAATAGAAAGTGCTATAAAAAACAAACCATGAGGCTAAAAAGATGGTTTAGTGATTAAGATCATTTGTTGCTCTTGCAGAGGACCCAGGTTCAGTTCCTAGTACCACGTGGTGGTTTACAATCATCTGTAATTCCAGGTCTGGGAGATCTGACACCCTTCTAACCTCCACAGGCATCAGGTATGCATGTGGTACACAATACATACATGAAAGCAAAACTTTCATGCCCATAAATCTAAAAAATATTAAAAATTCAAGAAATCACTATCAATTAATGCATGACAGTAGCTTAAAGTCTAAAGCATATTTTTTTTCCCCAAAGAAACTAACAGACACATTTATGGAGACAGGAAAGTGCCAGCAGTACTATAAACAGAATTGCTACGCTGGAGAAGTGCAGCTTCTGGGGATGCGCAGCTCAGAGGTGTACTGCCAGGACCGCAGCATCCATGACCTAGACAGAGGGAACCTCACTACAACTCTCACACCTGTGTGGAGGCAGGTGTCTTTCTCTTTTTAAATTGTGTGTCTGTGTGCACACACATGCCATGATAGGTGTGCATAGATCAGAGGACAACTTGCAGGAGTTGGTTCTCTCCTACCATATAGGTCTTGGGGACAGAACTCAAGATTGTCAGACTTGGTGGCAAGCGTCTTTACCCACTGAGCAATTCTGCCATCCATATTTTTAAAAATTCAAACTCTAATTTGAGACAATTTTCTAGCTGCTCTTTATTGTCCTCTTTAATACTATTAATAACCAAACAATTATGGCTAATTACAGTTAACAGCTATATGGCTTATTAGGAGCTAAGCTGTTCTCAGCAGTTGGTTATCTCATTTAATGAATCCTAAGCTGAGGCAGATATTCTTATCATTCTCATTAAAATGAAAAAAAACCTAAAACTCGTGCATAAGTTGTCATAGAGACAGGAGGGTGCAGAATCCAAACCCATGTACGTAATTGCTATGTCTGGAGGCTGCCACTAAAATGTTGGCATTATCCAGAGTTCTACCCTGCATCCCTTTTTCCTCAGCATTGAACATTTGTGTGCGCACCTTATTATCTCCCCCACTTTTAAAGAGATTTTTATCCTTATAGTGTTCTTAAGCCTGATTTTTCTCATGTGCCCGTAAAACCATTTTCATTTTCAAACTCAACCAGCAGACCAAACATGAATACAGAGGTTTACTAAATAAAGCTCTTCTTAATAAAGTCTATTAAGTGGAATGAAATGTCCATTTGCCACAATATTGGTGGCACTTGATCAGATGACTAAGATGGTGTCTCAGGTATTGTCTACTGGGCTTCTCAGCATCATGAAGTTATCCAGTTTTCTCTGCTACATGTTTTAGCTGTGGCTCTTAGACATGCTAGTCAAGTGCCCTCCCTTTGTAATTACTAAGAGTTTTGTGGGGATTTATTTGAAATTGTTACAATCCCTATCAAACATACATTTTATATCTGTGCGATTTCATATGTTATTTGATGGGCTGTAGTACGTTATCATTAACAACAAAGATATGAAGCTCTGGGCCAGAGTCGGCTCAGCAGGTGCTTGCCACGCAAGCCTGAGGACCCGAGTTTGCCCCACATGCAGATGAACAGTGAAAAGAGGACAGACTCTGGAAAGTTGTCTTCCACAAGTGCGTACACGCTTGTCCGACAGCACGTGTGCAATCTCTTACATGAAGCTCATTTATTTTCAATAAAGTCCAAGAAATGCAAGTTGGTCTATATCCTTTTGACACTCTTTATTAGTTTATGCTTTTTCATTTTATTTTTGAGACAGGGTTTGTGTAGCCTTGGCTGGCCTGGAACTTGCTCTGTAGACCAGGCTGTCCTTGAACTCAGAGATCCGCCTGCCTTTGCCTTCTGTGTGTTGGGATTAAAGGCGTGCACCAGTACACCTGGGAGTTTTTGCTTAAATTCTTTTATCTGACACAACTAAGGCTCCAAGTTCATCTTGTATTTTTTTTTCTCCTCCAGTCTTGGAACCAACCATTTTGCTAAGAAAAATGGGGAATTGTATTTAGAAGCCAAACTCTGGACTGTTTTACCGCTCACAGATCCTCTCAAGGGACAGAGTATTAACATACTTATATTTCTACAAATAGAGACTGATTCCGTTATTACTAGCCTACCAGAAAGGTTTTCTAGATTTCTTCTTACATATATGTAACTCTCTTTTTCAACAAGGAGAAACTGGGCTCTCATTTTGCTTACTATAATTACCTACTGAACCATCACGCTGTACATCACCAAATGTTAACTCTCCCAAAGCCAAGTGTGCCCTCAGAGAACACTGCACATGGCTGCTTTCTGCACGGATGCCTCTGGTTTTAGCAGACAACTCTGGCTGCCTTCCTTTCACTCACTGGTTGTTTTGTCCTTTGACCTCATGCAAACGCTACAGAACACATTAAATTCATTCTTTTTATATTTCTTCATCCTCTCTCCCTCTTTCTTTTCCTTTTGCCTCAGTGAGGCGATTAAGGAAGGCATCATTAGCCATATTTTTTTTATCAGATCTTTGGGGAATTGGTCAATGATACATATGCTAAAGTCACATTCAAATTCATTGAGTTTGTGTGAAGTATGATTTTCTTTTCCTGTGATGTGAGAAACAGTAGTGCATAACAGAAAGGACTCGGTATAGAAAGAAGAAACAAGTTTAGTTCCAGTTCTGATACGGTAAGTTACTCGTTTTCCTCCACTTGGAAAAAAAAAGGGGGGAGGGGGCTAGACTAGACCAAGGACATTTACTGCTTGGGGACAGTGAGTCGACTGCTCCCTGCCCATTTTCCAAACAAAACTTACCTAGGGAGTTCTATTGCTCTCCCTGATACAAATGTTCACAGAAATTCAGCTTCCAACACTCCATGTGATAATCCTTAACATTCTTTCTACTGTTCATTTTTCGCTATTTATTAGATGCTTTTATTCTTCAGTTTATCACTTGACAGTTAATTTGGCTTCATCTTTCACTGAAAATCGGTGACGGCCTGTAGTGCACCGAAGACTTCAACGACTTTTTTTTTTTTAAAGCATCTCTTTTTCCCAGGGAAAACAGGGTTCACATGTTCTCCCCACCTTCCCAATTAGCAGAGCAGAGCAGTCACAGCCAAGCCTCGTTATTTATAAAAACCGCCGGTTCTTCATTCCTCTCACCAACCCCGTTTCAAGACTGTCCCCCCACCCCCGCCCGCCCCTTGGCGACAGATACTAACGGAATTCCTCCCGGAGACAACGCTCTTCCTCCTCACGGCAGCTCCAATCAACACCCTGATTTCCGAGTCGTTCCCTGGGAATCTGAGCGCGACGCTCTCGGAAGTTTGAGTGCGTCTCACAAGGCATTCCTCCACTTCGGGAGGCACAACTGCCTGACGTGTCACCCCGGCTGGGGCCCACGCAAAACGGGGGTGGCATCCTCAGTGGGCGGCTGCTAACTGACGTGAGGCGAGGCGACCCCGGAGGGCTGAAACTTCCTGGCTTCTCCGCCTCGGACCAGAACCACCGCGTCTCCCCGTCTTCACGCGGCAGGAACTGCGCCCCCCTCGCCCCCCGCCGCCCCCAGCCCGGGCTTTCTCTCAGCGACAGCGAACCCCGCTCCACGCACGCTCCCGCCGCCGTCCTCCGTCCCCGAGCCGCGCGCCCGCCCTGGCCGTCGCGCGTGTCCTCACGGCGTCTCCCCTTCCTCCTCCTCCCCGACCCGCCAGCCCTTCGGCCGGTGTCGCCGCGCGGGTCGCCGCGGAAGGAGCCGGGAGCGCGCGCCGCGGCTGAGAACGTGCGCGAGACGCACAGCACCGCGCCGAGCGCCGGAAGGAGGCGGCCGGGCCTCGCGCGTCGCGCGCGCCGCCCCCGCCCCTGCGCCGCGACCTTGCTCGCGCGCGCGCACTAAGGCGCCGCCGCCGCCGCTGCCGCCGCCGCCGCCGCCGCCGGGGCTGCTGCTCCGGCTGCTGCAGGAGGCGGCGCTGGCTGGCGGCTGCGCTCGCTCCAGTCGGCGAGTGGAGGAGCGAGCGAGCGTGTGTGTGTTTTTTAAAGATGGCCGGAGCGGCGGCGGCGGTGGCCGCGGGAGCAGCAGCTGGAGCCGCCGCGGCAGCGGGGTCGGTGTCGGCTCCGGGTCGGGCCTCGGCGCCCCCTCCGCCTCCGCCCGTGTACTGTGTGTGCCGGCAGCCGTACGACGTGAACCGCTTCATGATCGAGTGCGATGTCTGCAAGGACTGGTTCCACGGCAGGTAAATAAACCCCCTCAGCCCCGCCGCCGTCGCCCGCGGCCACCGGCCAGCCTCCTCCGCCGCCGCCTGTGCCTCCCTCGGGCTGGGCCGCCGCGTCGCGCCCCACGTCCCGAAACCCGGGCGCTGAGCCCCCGGGCCGGGCGGAGGCGAGAGCGGGGGGCCCCCGCCTGCCGGGCAGGCTGCGGAGCGGAGCCGGTGGACTCGGCCGGCCCGGGCGAAGAGTCGCCACAACAAACAGGAACAAAGGGGCCGGCGGAGAAGTTGGCAGGGGAAGCCCGGGCGAGGGGACGCGGCGGGCGGCGCGGCTCTGGTGACGGCGGAGCGCAGGCAGGCCCGCAGCTCGTCGCCCCCCACTGCCCTGGCTGCGGCCGGGCGCAGTGTCCCGGGCTCCCGCCGCCCCGCGCCTGCCCTCGCCGGCCACCGCGCCTGCTCCGCTTCCGGGCGGCCGCCGCTCTGTCCGGCCGCGCGTCGTCCCCGCCGCGGGTCCCGTCGCGCCCCCTTCTCTCTTTATCAAACTTCCTCGGGCGGCGGGACGGGGCGGCGGTACGACGGCGCGGGGCGGCGAGTAAACAGAGCAACAGATGAGGAGGCACTCTCTCCTCGCGAGGTGCGGGGCCCCGTCACGGCGCAGTTTGCCTGGCCGCCGGCCCAGCCCGCAACACACCCCCCTGCGGCCGGGGGGGCGGGCGACCCGGGTCGGGGCACGTCGCCGCAGACCCTCCCCGGCGTCGCCGTGGCGTCGCACCTCAAACTTTATACTGAGTGCGGTCTCCGGCGACACCGGGACGGCCCGCAGCGGTGGCCCGGGCGCCGGGGCCAGCCAACTTTGGGGCGGTGCGGTGGCGGACGCTGCCCTCGGACGCCGCCGCCGCGCCGCGGTTTGACGTTTCGGAGAGCTCGGGCCGCCTCCGCAGCCAGGCCGCCGACTCGTGTGTTTTGTAATCAAAGTGTGAGGCTAATAAAGGGCGGCGCCACAGCCTCTTGACTCCGGCGTGGGAGGGATTCGCAGGCATTTAAACAAAGAAACTAGTTGGGGTTGGGCTCCCAAAGTCCTTATTTGGGTGTTGTGGCAAAGCCTGCGGTCACCTTTAGGTGAGGCAGGTTTTCTGGGCACCGTAGGATGTTGTATCTTGACAACAGCCCGCTTGGGAGTTATCGCTGATATGGTGACTGTGGTTGTAGGAAGTATCCTTTGATTGACAGCAGGGCATTTAAATAGAGCCCCCGCTCCCCCTCCCCAATTTTACAGAAACATTGCACCACCAGGCCAGATGCGTTAGTCTCCCTCTACTGGTCTGGGAAGAGAAAACCGTTGATGTTACAGGGTTTTCAGTGGTGTTGACTAACTAGGTAGAGTTCGACTTAATTTTCAAGTACAGTTAAATTTACTGAGTTTTAAAGTTAGGTGTCCCTAACAATAGATAGCACACACAAAACTGTCTCTTTAAAAGAAGGGTAACGTAATCACTTTTGTGTAAAGGCAAATTCGAGCAGTCTGACAAAAGGTGAAGGGTATTGTCATGCCACTTAATAAATGTTTTCCTATATTTTGATTATTCACAAAGGTGAAATTTGTAGGTATCAGACCTTACTGAGTCTGTTTATACCTACATTCTCCGCTTCTACAAAATTTCAGGCAACCAGAGAAGACTATCCAACATTAAATTCTAAAAAGAATTAGTTGCAATTTCTGAAAGGTTGAGGTTTCCGGGGGATGATTTGATGGAAAATATGCCCCGTTGTGTAATTCATGGATCTGATAGCTTAATAAGTTATAGATTTGAAGTTATTAAAGCTAATGTTATTGTAATGTGTGTGCTGGGGAGTCAACCTCAGGTGCTCATGCTTGTGCTGCAAGCGTGCGAGAGCTCTCACACACACCCCCCCCACACACCAGTTTTTTAAGACAGTGAGTTTCTGTATAGACCTGGCTATTCTGGAAGCATCATAGATCAGGCCTCCAACTTGGAGATCTGCCTGCTTCTGCCTCCTAAATGCTGGGACTAAAACCATGTACCACCATGTCCAGCTGCACTTTTTGGTCTTAAATTAGGTGTCTTAATGCTAGAGCATAATAAACCTAAGGTGTTTCCTAACAACCATTTATGTTACACATTTAAGTACCAGTATCTATTTTCTGGGGACCCCAAAAGTTGTCTTTATTTCTTCTGACAAAGAAGAAAGGGCCTTCCTTGATGCAGCTAGGCTGCAGGGCGACTAGAACAGCTTCCTCTCTGGTTGAGACCGTTGAGCTTTGGTGCATCCTTGGTTCAGGAGTTCCCATCCCTTAGCCTGCCCAAGCCTTTTTGAAAGGGAAAGAATAAAAGGATGCTTAACTAACAGACTGTAATGTATAATAGATACCCTGGGGTCAGTGAGCTGAGAGATGGGCAGGGTTTTCCTAGGGAATTTTTTTCAAACTTAAAGAGCTCTTCCTCCAGTCCTAATGGAAGTCCTCCTGGGGCTGCTCCATGACTTTAATAGTGCTTTGAAAGCATCCCGTGAAAAACTACACCATTGTTCTGGTTCAGTAGTACCAGAATGTTGTGTCTTGTTTAGAATTAAACGCTTATATATCTTTATAATCACATATTCTTTAGATTTTACAGGAGCAGTGTATTACAGGAAATTAAAAAGTATAGAGAAATATAGAGAGTCCCTATCTTTCATGGATAACTAGTACTTAATGTTTGAGATATGACTTTTTAAAAACAAAATTGGATTTTGCTTTATGTATTGTTACATTTTTAACTAGTGTGTACTTTTTGTCATATTTTTAATGCTATTTGGAAATTTTTTTAGTGGCTGTATAGTATTTTTTTTTGCCATGTAGTGTTTAATTCCACAGAATCATAACATTTGAAAGTAATTTTCCTGTTATTACTTTGTTTTACTACTTGCATTTATTAGTGGTGATACGATTTATACCCTTTTAACCAAAATTTTGTGAATATTTCTGTTTCCTTAGATTAACTCAAATAGACAGCCTGGCTTATGCTAGGTATTCAGTAAGAAATTCCTTGAAACAATTGATGTTAGAAGGCACAGTTGTTTTTCGTTTGACATGTCTTTGCCAGGTTATATTCTGAAATGTTGCTCAGTTTTTTCTTCACCAGTGCCCGCTTTAGTTCCCTGTGTCTTTGACAATATAAAGTGTTACTTTCTTTATCAAACAAACAACTTTGGCAATTTGTATGTAAGTGAATATTATTTAAAAAGGCCTTGGGCATAATGGATAATAGGGGAACACAAATTTGAGTCTAGTCCAGTCTACTTAATGAAACTGTCTAAAAACAAAACAAAAAGATAAAAAAAATCCTCACCACCAGGCGGTGGTGGCACACGCCTTTAATCCCAGCACTTGGAAGGCAGAGGCAGGCGGATCTTTGTTAGGTCGAGGCCAGCCTGGTCTACAAGAGCTAGTTCCAGGACAGGGTCCAAAGCTACAGAGAAACCCTGTCTCGAAAAACCAAAAAAAAAAAAAAAAAAAAAAAAAATCCTCACCAAAAAATAATACACAAAAAAATGGTTTTTAACTGTCCTCAAACTAAAACAACCCAAATATTAACAGTAGATTGCATGAATTTGATATATTCATAAAGTAGAGTAACACTTCTGCAATAAAAAGAATACACTATTGGTTCATGCAGCAACATGGACAAAACTCAACAGATAAAGAGTTGAACATAAAAAGGTAGAAATGAAATAAATTCTGCTTTTAATCCCAGCACTTGAGAGGCACAGGCAGAGCTCTGTGTGTTGTAGGCCAACTGGTCTACATATCAAGTTCCAGTCCAGTCAGGGCAAATAGTGAAATTCTGTCCTCAAACAAAAAAAGTACAACAAAATGTTTTTAAAGTTAAGAGTTGTCCAGTTTGGCAGGTGACAAATAACATTCAGGTTGTTGGTAATGCTGCTTCCCTGTGGTGTGCTTGTGGAAAGCCTGTGTCCATGATGCTGACAAAGTGCTGATTCAGAGGGAAAGGAAAGCCAATATCCTGAGTGTGGACCCTGTGGAAATCTAGGAAGAGTCAGAATACCCGTTTGGAGAGTAGAAGAGATCACTGTCTGGTTTTGTAGGCAGGTCTAGTACTTTGAATTTTACTTTTGTTTTTGTTTGTTTTGTTTTTTTGATGCATGGTTTCCCTGTGTAGCCCTAACTGTCCTGAAGTCCTGAAACTCCTTCTGTAGACCAGCCTGGCCTCGAACTCAACAGAGATCCAGCTGCCTCTGTCTCCTGAGCATTGGGATTAAAGGCGAGCACCACTACTGCCTGGCTTTGATTTTACTTTTAAACAGATGGTTTGCTTTGGATTGAGATATCAAGGAGTTGACAACCTTTTATAAGGATTATTCTTGGTCTTGGGCATGTCTGAGGATCCCTGCATTTGATTCCCTGCTCTGGAGGAGAATCGTTCTGCTTGTACATCAGAATAGACTGGAGGTGGGTGAAGGTGAAGCTAAGGAGACTACTAAGGCTCTTGTAATAATAAGTAGCATGGTTGAGTCAGTTTGAGTAATATATGAGTGGTGTGTGTGTGTGTGTGTGTGTGTGTGTGTGTGTGTGTGTGTGAGAGAGAGAGAGAGAGAGAGAGAGAGAGAGAGAGGACTGAACCTAAGGCCTTGGCCATGTGAGGCAAGTCTTTACCACAATCTATATCCCCAGCCCTCTTTACTTTTTGAGACAGGGTCTCACTAAGTTGCCTGGGCTAGCCCTGAATTTTTTTTTTTTGGTAACCTAGACAAACCTTGAACTTGTGATTTTCCTGCCTTAGCCTCCTACGTCTTATATTATTTTTGTCTTTTATTATTATTATTATATTATAATAAATGTCTTAGATTATTTTTCTCCTTGATGTTGAATGGAGAACTTTGTACATGGGAATAGAAGAATTTTATTGGGTAATATGGTTGAATGAGCAATTCTCATGTTATACAGAGCCTCAGGAATTCACCAGAAACATACTGGATGTTTTAATCAGTCCTATGTGCAGTTTGAT